ACCGAAAGAACAAGACCAATACTAACTAAAATCAAGGCCGAATATGCAAGACCAAGACCAAAAGAATTGAATGGGTGTAGGTTGTTAAAGGTGTATCTTTGGAACGCGGCGTTGTACGGGTGCGAAATATGGACAGTGGGCGCGGCGGAAAAGAAGAGATTAGAAGCGTTCAAAATGTGGTGTTATAGGCGAATGATGGGGATAACGTGGATAGAGAAGGTTACAAATGAAGAAATATTAGAAAAAATAGGAGAACAGAGGACTCTACGGAAGTCAATAAGAAATAGACGAGATAGGTTGGTAGAACACCTTCTCAGGCATGAAGGTCTAGTCAGAGACATATTAGAGACAGAAACAGGAGTTAGGAGGGGTAGAGATAGTCCTAGATTAGATTACTGTTCGCAAATAGTTAAGGATGTGGGTTGTTCTAGTTTTAGGGAAATGCGAAGTTTAGCTCAGGATAGGACAGAGTGGAGGTACGTGTCCAACAGTCTTAGGAACTGAAAACCTTATGATGATGATGAAGTACATAAAAATATTCTAAAGGTAAAAATTCGTCTAGTATAGTATCAGGTTTACCAAAAGTTACCTATTTTCGTTAGTTGGTTCAACTTTGCTGAGACAGGAATCGTAGGTAAATATAAAAGTGATAACTCCTGTAGCATACATACCTTCAAAGGAAATCCGAAAATTCAGCAGGCAAATAGTTGTAATTTATTTGTATAATTCATGATTTAGAAATAGTTATATTGTCATTGCTGTATAGAACTGAATTGTATGGTTATGGCTGTATAAGTTTAGACTTCTTGGTGGGTTTAGAAGTAGTGCACACCTACCTGGATTGATTTGAACTGGTAGGTTTGGTAGAGCATCTCGCGTATAAAATTTACTGGCAATTTAAACACTACAATATCGTGTAGAATAACATTGGAGAAAACTATTGTAGTAAACTAATGAAAGTGGTTGAATGGAGCATAATGTGACCGATATATTCAAAGATAAGCATTATGTTTTATGGGGTTGAAATATGGACGTGGAAAAAATATGAACAGATTCAAATGAAAAAATTTATAAAAAATATATAAAATGAGTTAGGTATATCTTAAAAAAAGAAGCACATCAGACTATATAATAGGAAGAGAAACGAAATGTGGAGAAATGGTAGTAGAAGCTAAAAGAAGAGTAATCAAGTATGAGGAAAAGCTGGAAAAATTAAAGGACGATGATATGTGGAAAGAGATATGGATAAAAAACGATACATATGTCGAGATAAGAGATAACGCTATAGAGTAAATGAGAATCAGCAAGAAATGACTAACTGAATGGAAAGATAAGGGGTGAATGTAAGTAATATGATAAAAAATAGATGTAGAGAAATAGAAAGGGGAGATGATTTAAGAAAAATTCAATGTTCAAAATATGTAGAAGGGATGAGAGAATGGATCACATCATAAAATGTGGTAAAAATGATATTAAAAATGAGCGGGAAAATAGGGTTAGTTTTATGGCGTATTGCATCAACACATCTCAGTTGAAAGAAAGCCCTCACGAAATTAGTGGAATAATTAAACTAAATGGTGAAATTTTATCGTTGAAATGTTCATGTAAAGCTGTACTAAGTGAACAGTGTAAACATATCGTTGCAACATTGTTAGATTGTAATAGGTAAGTTTTTAACCTTAAAATATTCATTTAATTCTTTTTTAACTTTGCTGGCTCCATTATCGAATATGCAAATGAGTAATAAATTGTTTTGAATACAGTAATTAATAGAAATTCAAAGATTTACTACCAAATCAATGCAGTATGCGTGTATGTCTATTTATCGTTCTATATCCACGTTTTACCAACAGGTGGCGTACCCCACTTGACGGATCCCGATAAGCACCCTGTAGATGCTTTTACGATATTTACAAATTTTCATAATAATGTAACAGGTTTTTCATACATGTGAACATTAGTAGCTTGTTTTACAAATCCATGTATTCGTTTTGGCTGCTTTTAGGTACTCTACAAATGCAATAAAAAGCATTGTAGTACGTTATCTCTGATGCGTTCCGGTTTGTTGTTTAAACCTGCGAACAAAACGTTGCCACTGCACAAAAGTGAGAAACAAAAACTGGCTGATATACACGATCTTCCGTTCATGTTTAATGTTGCGTATACACAGGTTGATTTATTTTACCATAGCAAGCCGTGCTATGTACATATACATATATATAATGGTAAATATATAGATATGTAGGTATAATGTACGTACGTATCGGGGTGTACGTGAATACAAGGGAGCATATGAACCTTAATTTTTATCCTTTTACGTGCAAACTGTATACACTTTCAACGTGCTTTGCATGCGTGAATTCTTCATGTATGTATTTTACATGACTGTAATAAATAATGTTTAAGTTGCTGTGAAACTTTATGGATAGTGTTCCTTATTATTTGCGGAGCATGTACCCTCTATTTTTAAAGTTGAAACCCATAGTAGCGATGCAACGGGAGCGTCATAACAGAAACAGACGTGGAAGTGTAATGATTTTAGGTGACTATTTAATGCAGTGGTGTGTGCCGTTTTTGCGAATATTTTGTAACAAATTTTGCATTTAGCACTTGCATCGTTAACATCAACAAAATAATCCCAAATGGAACTTCTCTTTGACTTAAAAAGTAATCTTTTAATATAAACTTTACACCACTGAGCAGCCACTATACTAAATAAATAAACGCTACAACTGTATTAGTATTTTCGAAATCAAATTATTAGGAGAACTGTCTAAGAGGGAGCTGAATGTCCTGGGCGTTTTTAAATTAAAGCAGGAGACCAATAAGAGAATAAAATTTGGAGTGGTGTAAGCACAGGGCAAAGTAGTATTACGTAGTTAGTATCAGCAATTTCTTATGCTGAAGTGTACGATGTGTTGCATACCTAATAAAATACAATTCCTTAAAATATAATTTTTCAAATAATCTTTAACACAAACAAAGTGATTAAACAAATTATTCACAAAAGTAACAGTTTCGAGCTCTCGAGAACTTGTTATAATAAAGTTATTTGCACAGGGACAATATTAATAAATTATTATTAATAAAATCTTATCGGCTATAACGCTGCATTCACGCGAATACTTCATAAATTTAACGGTTTTTAAATAATACGCTACAATGTTACACAGGGGTCGTTGAAAGCTGGCGCAGGTACCTGCACCACATGTAGCTATACAACGAGCAATTCCATTTAAATTGTGTTTTTAAAACGGCCATGTTTAGCCAACAGGTAAAAGTAATAAATTTTTGCAACTTGTTTTATTGTTCCGATATAATGATTTTCAAAAAGATGAGAAATAATATTTTGTTCCGATAAGCTTGTTATAAAAAAGCGGAACCAGATGCAGAAGCGGATGTGAATATGTATGCGGAATTTCCGTAACTGCGGACGCAAAAGCAGAAGTCTCTTGCAACACAAACCCATAGTAACCTGATCAATTATTTACTTTCGCGTATATGGCGCAACCACTAAAAGATGTGATGTTTTAAATACAGCTAGATGACAAATAAAAAACAAGGACAGCTTTCGTTGTGGGATAAATAAACATCTAGGAGGAACGTAATGCTGTGATTAATTGGGTATCAGTAGAGTAAATAGAATTAAGAAAGATTGTCTTTATTATGTTTTAGGTAAGGGCAATCATCTCTACCACAAACAAACCTTCACAATTTTACATTTAAAATCAGAAAAACCTTCTTAATCACAACTGATCCGTTAAATAAATACATTTTAAATTAAGAAAATTTTATTAATCATAACCAAAGCTTTACAAAATAAATTTTAAATTCGGGTAACCTTTTCAACCACAATCAAACGCACACAAAATGAAATTTTAAGTCAGGACAACCTTCCCAACCACAACCAAATCTTCACGAAATTGACCTTAATATCAGAACAATATTCTCAACAATAATTACTAAATCTACACAAATTTAATTTTTTAAAAAAGGGTAGTCTTATTAAGCATACCAAATCTTCACAAAATTAAACTTTAAATTAGGACAACCTTCTTAATTATAACCAAATCTTCACAAAATTAACGCTAAAATCAGAACAGTATTCTCAACAATAATTAAATCTTCACAAACTACCATTTTTAAGAAGGTTGTTTTTAATTAAAAAAATTAATTTATGAAAACTTAATTAATGTTGTAAATATTGTCCTAAGTTGCCTTTATTTAATCACAATCAAATCTTCACAAAATTAAACCTCAAATCGCGACGACCTTCTTAACCATAACCAAATATTCATAAAATTAATCTTAATATCAGAACAATATTCTCAACAATAATTAAATCTTCACAAATGTAAATTTTAATCAGAGCATTCTAGTCAGCCATAACTAAATCTTCACAAAATTAACCTTAAAATCAGAACAATATTCTCAACAATAATTTAATCTTCACAAACTAAAACTTTTAAATAAAGCTAACCTTCTTAACCAAAACCAAATCTTCACAAAATTACATTTTAATCAAGGCAATATACTCAACCATGAACCAATACACATCTTCAGCGATAACTAAATTTTCACAGAAACCTTTTTGAATCATATCTAATTAAATTTTCAGAAAATTGAATTTTAAATTAGGACATCGTTCTTAACCTTTACCAAATTTTCTCAATCATAATCAAATTCCAACATAATTAAACTTTAAAACAACGCCATCTTCTCAATCACAATCAAACTATCACAACTTAAGAAGCAAGTGATTTACCTAAGTGTACTACTTTCACAAGAAACTGCATTTAAAATTGTGTACAGAAGATTAATGAGGCTTTGTCTATTTTTCCTTTTTCAAATGAGAATATGCTTGACAAGTCTTATCTTTTTGTATACTTACAATTTAAATAAATAATATACATGTAGCGATGCCTCTAGTTTTTAAAGTTAAATGAACTTGTTATCTATTGGAACAGACGAGATGTGCAATAATGCTTAGAATATAAGAATGCTTCACCAGGTATAACTGCAACAATAAAATTACTTCATTCGAATCATAGCGTAATGTCTGGTACCACTATCAATGAAAACAAACGTACGAGAAAACTGTCGTATATTACTCCAGACGGCGGTTATGGTTACGTTGTTGCTGCAGCTTTAATGATATTTACAGTAAGTCATTAGAAAACTTTTGTTACTCACAAATCTATTGATAAGTAACTTTATGATTTACTAACCGATCGCAATAATCTGCACTAATAATTAAATTATTTGAATAACAAGAGCCTTACTTGATGATGGCCGCGTTGTCATCGAAGTGGAATGAAATAACAGTCAGAATTTCGGCGTCGATTTATAAAATCATAGTGATGATTCAAGTTTAGCTTATTTTTATTATTGTTATTAACTAAAAATTATCAAAAGCTATCTAAATGCATCAGTACATCCCTCTCCATTACAAGGTCACCAGTCAGAAGGAACGCAATTGTATCTTGAGCATATTGAAAACATCACACGTAATTGTTGGAATTCTAAATTGTTTAAAGGAAGTTGTTGTTGGTGTTTTAGTTTCATTCTAGGTGTCATTAGCATTTTTATCACCGTTTGTAGGTAATTAGTGGGTAAATAAAAACAAAACAAACTTTCGTAAGAAGATTCGCCGGGATTCGTTTCAGCAAGTAGATATCCATATATTTAAATTAACCTTGTTGGAGCATACGTAATCCTAAAACGTAGCATCGTACTACAGATGGCGCTCACCACGCCATTTGTGATATTTTCTAAAACGCGCTGTTAGGACAGCAGGTAAAAACTGGTCAATGTTCTGTCGGAGCTGTCTGCGACGCGCTGATGAGATCTGAGAAGATCGAAATCGCGATCCGCGTCTGGCAGTTTCGACAGAATACAGACCACTTCGAATTATTTTATTAAACTTTCGTAAAATAAAATCCACTGTATAGGCAGGTATATATTAATGACAATGTGAAACATTCAAAACAAAGTAATTTCATTTCAAATAGCTGAAATTACTTGCTAAGTATTATTATTTTCGGCTGTAGTTTCTCTTTTCTTTGCAAGAAAATAATCAGATGATAGCGGTAACGGGATGCTAGTTTCAGGTGAAAGACTTGTCCTCAATTATGCCATTGCCTAAAATTTCAATGGAATGAAAATACCACTAAAAAGGAACGATCTTTTTCCTAAAAACAGAAAGGCTCCTTACGAATACGTAGCCAAAAGTAACTGGAACGCATCGACATTATTCAATTACTGAATATTTATCCTTTATGTGCTTGTTTATACTTACCTCTGATCTAATAAGAGGTCTAGCAGCCTTCGACGGTCGATCGTCGGGTCTATCGATGGGCGATTTTGTTTTTTCAGTACTAAAATAGTTATTTTTCTATTTATTGTAATTCGTATTTTAATCGGATTCCATTTAATGTAATAAATAAGTAAGTAAAAATCAGGCTGTTTCCAACTATGGATACCAAGCGGCATGGCTCAGAGGTTTATCATAGCATTCGAGAGGACGCCAGTTCGTTTCCGGGTCCGTTTGGTCCAAGTTTTTCTGTGGTTGGATCACTTAGGTAAATGCTGGGGCAGTAATATTCCACTAATAATCTTTCATTCTCTTCTGTCTTCATTTCGTCCGTCTCATCTTTCTCACCCGAACCACCACCCAACCATTCCCAGTATTTCTGAAAGGAGGCTGAAGAGGGCCTTTTTCTCTACCTTCCGGTGTAGTCCGGAGGGACTGCCCGCCTACCAGCATTACTGACTGGTGGGAATGATACATCCAAAAGTGTTTTTTTTTTTTGCTATTGATGTCGTGTTCTTTATTTACAAGCAAAGGTTTTGTCATGCGAGCTCCTGCTTGACGGTTAGGTTGATTGTGACGTTGTTTATTCTTCATTAAAATTATCCAACTGTGTCTAATCTTTAATTTTTCGTCTTTGTTGACGTTGGTGCGGTAGTGTAGAATTTCAAGCACTTCCATTCGGGCTGAATCATAATATCCGTTGGGACGTGTCAATACTTTGGTATCGTCAAAAGCAGTCTTACGTCCTCTTTTCAATGTATGTAAACGACAACTGACCTCCGGCTGGTAAAAAGAATATGCCTGTCTGTCGTCATTCATATGTATACTTTATGACAACTAGGCAAACTATTGCGCTGTAGGGGATACAGAGGTTTCTTGGAGTTGTGTAAGTGTTGGAAGACTTCTTTGAATGCAGAGTTTTTCACACCGCTTTTCGTAATAGACGAGCTATTATATCCGTTTTCCCAAAAAAAGGAACAATTGTACTGCAACTTCTTCCTGTAAATGACGTAACCCGAACTTCCTTTATGTTTTTCTTTCAATCATAACGCCAAGGAATGATGGGATCGTATTGCGTTCTGTTTCTATGGTGAATTTGATGCTACCTGTTCAGATAATCCAGTAAGTCGTACAGTGATTATTTCCCACAGTATCATACAATAAATGTCCATCTATGTACCTACACTGTCTGTGATTACGTTTCTTAGAATCCTCTTTTAACGAATAGCATATGCGGTAAGGCTTTTATTAAGTATAATTTCATTTTAGTGTGTAACATTTGTGCCAAATACCTGCTTTGGATTGATCTATGGATCCTATTTGGCTCAAATAGGTGATGAAACAAGATCTGTTACTACAGTCACATCCTTCTTCAACACTGCATTTCATTTTTCTGGTATGAAAATTAAAAATAATTATTTGTGCTTTTTAAGAATTGAAATAAGTGTTTTATGAAGTTGCAAATATAGTAACGAAACGTCAGACAAAATTACAATCCTTTTCTTTGATTATTCACTTTAATACATATATATATACTATTTGTTTGATAAAATGAAGGACTTTCGAAAAGAACCTTCCTTTGACCAAGAAATTGAAAAACTAAAAATAAGCATGTTTTGTGTAAATGGCATGGTAATTTTCAATTTTGCTAGAAAAAGTAACACATGTACCTAAAAACCAACCTATTGAGCAAAAAATAGTCATAATTTAGCTATAACATATTTAAAAGAGTACTCATATTTGTAAATATATAGGGTTGTTCGGAAAGTCATTTCGTTTTTTTTTGTGGAAATGAAAGACAGTTTTCGTATAATAAACAAATACTTTATTAAATTATATATTGACCGTTCTGGTCCAACACCTTTTGCCATCTTTCTGGTAGTAGCATAATTCCACGCTCATAAAATTTTTGGTCTTTGCTGGCAAAAAACTGATCGAGGAGGTTTTTGACCTCCTCATTTGAGGTGAAGGTTTTACCGTCTAAAAAATTTTGGAGTGACCGGAACAAATAATAATCCGATGGTGCCAGGTCTGGAGAATATGGTGGGTGTAGCATTGTATCCCATTCAAGCTGTAAAAGCTTTTGGCGAGTGACCAAACTTGTGTGAGGTCTCGCGTTGTCTTGGTGAAACACTACACCTTTCCTGTTGATTAGTTCTGACCTTTTCTGTTGAAGTGCATCATTCAGTTTGTCCAGCTGATGACAGTAGACTTCCGAATTAATCGTTGTGTTATCCGGTAAAAGCTCAAAAAAAACGATTCCTTTAAAATCCCACCAAACAGACAGCATCACCTTTTTTTGGTGAATATCGGCTTTGGAAATGGTTTGAGCCGGTTCATCTTTTTTGCTCCATGACCTCTTGCGTTTGACGTTGTTGTATACAACCCATTTTTCGTCCCCAGTGATGATGCGCTTCAAAAACGGATCATTTTCGTGACGTTTGAGAAGCGAATCGCAGACGTCAATGCGGCGACACAGATTTCTCTCTGTGAGAACATGGGGAACCCATACATCGAGCTTCGAGGATAATCCCAGGCCTTTCAAGTGGTCATAAACTGTTGAATTTGATAAATTTAACCTCAATCCGATCTCACGTGTTGTTATTCGCCGGTTCACATCAACTAATGCCTTTATCGCGTCTTTATCAGCTTCAACCGGCCTTCCCGAACGTGGTGCATCTTCGACATCAAAATTGCCGGATCGAAATTTAGCGAACCAGTTCTGGCACTGGCGTACTGTCAACACACCTTCTCCATACACATCAGTCAATTTCTTTCTGGCTTGAACAGCATTTTTACCCTTTCTGTAGTAAAACAGTAAGATATGTCGAAAATGCTGCTTATCGCTCTCCATATTTAAAAGGGCACCAACCAAAAACTACTGCGTAGAATTAATTGGAATTTTTCACACACAAGCCTTGCTATATGAGCTCTCAAAGCATATAAAAATTATACGGCTTCAATGTGAAGTTGGGTGCAAAAGAATACAATTAAATCCTCTGTCGGGAACAGACGAAATGACTTTGCGAACAACCCTATATATTTGTTGTAAAAAGTATGCAACATGAAGGTGCCAAATACTAGTGAAGATAATTAGTAAATTCTTAATAATTACACTTACCGGTACACTTTTGAAAGTGTTGCATACCTTGTAAGGTATTTTTCTTATTTTTGTATCTTGTACATTATATTTATGATTTATTTCTGCAAACCTAGGAATCTTTACAAACCTTCTACTTCAAAAATGTTCAGAGAGAACTGTGGCATTGATAGGAGCTTTGATGATTTTTGGGGCAAACTTAGGGACAATATTTGTAACCACTGTGGAACATTTGGTTATGACATATGCTGTAATACAAGGTAATTGCATATCTACAAATCTTAGACAACTACTAATCATAATAGAGAGGATTTAAATATCGCTTCTAGAGGAACAGTTTATGTAGACAGTTTTACTAGTGTAAAGTAAAGTTACATATTCCAATTCAGCTTTTACTAGACTTTGTAATTGTCCATAACTCCCATAAATATTTTACATATCGATTGCACTTAAGTCCTAAATAAGCAATTCGAGACAACATTTTGGATTCGCAAAAGTGGGTTGCATATTCAGTTTAATCATCATCATCATAAGGTCATCAGTCCTAAGACTGGTTGGACACGTACCTCCACTCTTTCCTATCCTGAGCGAAACTTCGCATTTCCCTAAAACTAGAACAGCCCACATCCTTAACTATTTGCGAAGAGTAATCTAATCTAGGTCTACCTCTACC